GTCAAATTGCTAAACTCTACCTATTCATCATTTTCGAACTTATTGTTGCCTGAAGCTGACTAGCAAGAAGTTTGCGGTCTGATACTTCATCTATTACCAACATTTACTTGGCTGAAAGGGGTAGGAGGCGTAATTTGAAAAAAAATTTTTTTTGGCTGCTCTGTAACGCAAGTTTTTGATCTTACCGTTCACTTTTTTTTCTTGTTTCAATTTTGTTTTATAAAGGTGATTGTAGTCAATTTTGTGGACTGTTAATTTCTGGTCAGCCATACCGTTTTCTAGCTTCAAGGTTCTACTCTTGATATTCAAGAATTTTTTTACTTGAGTCTCTTCTTTATCAGATTTCTTATTGGTAGTCACTAGCTTAGGTGTGTAGAGAGTTTGGAAGGTTGTTCCGAATTCCAAGTTTTGTACTAAATTTTATTGGGTGTTATTAGCTATAATTATTCTTTTTTGCATTTTTTGAGAAAAATAATTGTTACATAAACAATGGTAATAATAATAGTAATGGTAATAGTACTAGTAATAGTTATGATGACAGTAGTAGTAATAGTAGCAGCATTAGTAGTAGTTGCAGTGGCAGTATTAGTAACAGCAGCAGCAATAGTAACAATAACAGTAACAGTAGTAATAATAGCAATAGCTACAGTAACAGTAACAGTAATAGTAATTAGTTATAACAGTAATAACAATAACAGCGACAAGGATATACTTTTTTTTTACCACGTCCTAATCACGGAAGCTTTTGAACTAGATTAGGAATTTTTCGTTTTATGCCTTGTCATTCCTTGGATTAATGTGAGAACTCGTTAGTTTTTCGAAGTATCTTTAGCTGAACTGGAGTTTTTTCAAACATTTTATACAAAAATTAGTAGCGTTTATTAGATTAGTTCTACTTTTAATGTAGGTTAGGGGATTAGCTAAATAAAATGACAACTATTCTAATGTTGATAGTGTCAGAGTTTAAAAGAAAGGATTTTAGTGTTCAAACTTGGCAAGATGTTTTATTTTACAATTGGTGTTGCCACCTTTTTCCACTAAAATAAATAAATCAGGCGAAATTGAAAAAGTATAGAAATATCAGAGTATTACGATTTTTATATGATTCTCATGATGGGAGGACTTCAAGAATGCTAGCAGTGCCATCAACAAGTACAAAGTGAAATATAGAAGAGTTGTACTGGAACCTGCAAATGGAGTCTAAGCTTAAAATATTTCACATGTCTGCTTGACGTTCTTGTCGACTATAATCTGGGAGAATGAGGCGTTTTAAAAGTTCAGTGCTTTGAAGCTTCTGTTGAGACAATAAAAAATTTCAGGGAAAAGAATTAAAAACTTTTATTTAACCTGTAAATTGGAAGATTTCATGGAGGGCGAGGAGCACGAGAAGAAGCATTTACAACTTTTTTTTTTAATAAGGTGCTACTACTCAGTTGTCTTGAAGTAAAGGTTAAAGTAAATTTGATGAAGTTCAGTTTGTCATTTAAAAAACACTAAAGCTAGGTGTAAAGCAACAGTCGTCTTTGACATGTTTAGAAGTCAAGCTGAAGTTGATTAGAAATAAAAAAGTCCATATCATGTCTGTAAAATGGCCGTTTTTATTACTAATTAACTTCAGTAGTCTTGCAGGGATACTTATCCGAAGTTTCCCATCGAGGATCAAGTCAGACAAGGAAAAGTGGGTGGTGAAAAGGAGAATGAAAAAAAAAAAAAAAAACAACACTTTGGAAAAAAACGTTTGCTTAGGAATCAACTCTTATAAATATTGACCTCAGAATGATAGAAGTGGTCAGCATCTGGATTAGTATTTTTTTATTGCTTTGATTTATTAATACTGTTTGAGAATTTTACAAAGATTTCTGCTTGACAGGTAGTAGTCCCACTAATCAATTATTTTCTATGATTCAAATTGTGCCTAAGTCAGCACAAAGTTGCAATTTTGTTAACAATTTCTACCTGGTTCGATATCTTCAACCTTGCCGTTTTCATATTGATTACGATGCGTTTAGTCATCATTGTTTAAAATGCTTCTCTGATCCAGCTGGTGTAATGTCATTTTTAAAACGTTACACTGTTATAAAACTGTGCCTTATTTCAGCTTATATGGTTTTACCAGCTCAGCACCATAAGTTGATAAAAATTTCTCACGAGAATCGTCGTCGTCTCATAAGATTTGCTTGTTTTAGTTCGCTGCTTGCTTGCAGCTTCAACTTGATCAGTAAATTCATTAATTGTTCATTTTTCATTTTTTTCATTTTTTGAATCGTCAGTGTTAGTGTCAGTAGCATTCTCTGAAAAGATCTGAAAAAAAAAAAAAAAA